GACATGAGTTGAATGTTTTCTTTTTGGCCCTTCACCGAGTGTCCACAACACTGGGCAAAGCAGCAACTTCCACTAGTGTGGGGCGCTGCTTGGCCCTTTTCTCTTGAAAAGGAAACCACTGGCCGGGCAGTAACCAGCTGACCTCAGTGCCTTGCCACCTACTGGCATGCATTTACTATTTTTCACCTACCGGTCTAGTAGGAAAACAAGGTGCAGTATACGCACATGTGTGGCGTGTTCTATGTCTGTACGTACACGCCCGGCCGTTTGGCAGCATGCACGTACATACAGATACAGCCGGAGTAAAATGTAGGTCGTCCGCACGCGGCAGCTTAGCTAGCGTCGCGTCGGTCCACTCAAGCCATGCATGCATGCGGCCGCAGGGACGGAGGTAGGTGGCCACCCCGTGCCGTTCCGTTCACGAGTATAAATAACCAGGGCACCCTGCCGAGAAGGAGGAGGAGAAAAGAGATGTGGTAGAAGAACATACCCCACCCAGTAAAGAAGAAGAAGAAGAAGAAGAAGAAGCAGAAGCGAGGCATCACACCAGGCCAGGTACCTTCAAGTCTAGAGTATTTACTTTCTTATTAAATTTTCCTAATACATCGCCATGCATCATCTGGCTTCGGTTTCTTATATGCTGACTAGGTATGTTGCCACATACTCACATGTGACAAATAATTGTCTACCCAGCGATCGTGAGGATGAGGACCACCAACCTCCTCCTTGCCACCGGCGTCATCGTTGCCGTCGTCTGCGCCGCCGCCACCACCACACCCGGGTGGAAATCCAGCGACGATGGCCCGAAGATCGACGAGCTCGCAGAGTGGGCGCTGGCGGAGATGAAGCAAGGCCTCCGGTTGATCAGCGTGCTCCGTTGCGAGGAGCAAGACCAAGGCGGTCCAGGAATCATCTACCGTATCATGCTGGACGCGGTCAACAGCACCGGCGGGATGGGCCACTTCACGACGTACGTGTACGAGGAGGCGGCGACCAAAGTACGCACGCTCCTCTACTTCGGCATAGCCCGGTAGTAGGTAGCGGCCGGGATGGGAGGACTATCTAGGCTAATGTGATGGATTTAAGCCAATGTTTCCCATGTGGATGGAGTATCAAGCATGTTTGTCTTTTGTTTCGCACCAGTAATAAGATGTTGCAAAAAAAAGTAGTAATGCTACATGCCCAGGGTCATTAGGGAGGTTTACGGGGTGGATTCACCTGGCAGTTATGGTTGACCATTTGGGAAAATTGGCCCACACCCTGCTGAAAATTCAAGGGGGGTGGCTGGTTTAGTTAGTTGGAAGAAGCCCGTAATGCCCCTGTAAAGACCCGTGAGTCTAGCATTTTTTGCAAAGTCACCCTGCCACCGCCGTGTTTACCCTTCCTCGGCGACACCGCGAAAGCCCACTGGATCCGCCGCCACCTTCCTCCCCCGCTCCCCCTTCGTCTCACCGCTACCGGAAGAGCATGCCGACGGAACCCGTGCAGGCTCCTAGGAAGGTGTCACGGGAAAAATTACACCAGGCACTTCAGGTGAAGCCCGAGGATGACCCGCTCGGCCCAAGCGGGGATAAAGCCCAACCCATAGAACACCGGAGAACCCATAAAACACCTGGACTAGGGGTACTCACCACGTCGTCTTCGAACCAGGTGGATCGGGCCGAGGACCCCGGGGCAAAGCAGCAAATTTCAGTAGTGTGGGGCGCTGCTTGGCCCCTTTCTCTTGAAAAGGAAATCACTGGTCGGGCTCTAACCAGCTCACCTCTCTGCCATGCATTTACTAATTTTCACCTAGCGGTCTAGTAGAAAAAAAAGGTGTAGTATACGTACATGTGTGGCGTGTTTTATGTCTGTACGTACACGCCCGGCCGTTTGGCAGCATGCAGTACATACAGATACTGCCAGCCGGGACACGAAAAGGGGGAAAGTGACAACCGCGGAGTAAAATGTAGGTCGTCCGGACGCGGCAGCTTAGCTAGCGTTGGTCCTCTCAAGCCATGCATGCAGCCGCAGGGACGGACGTAGGTGGTGACCCGGCCCGTCCCGTTCCGTTCACGGGTACAAATAACCAGCGCACCCTGGCGAGGAGGAGAGAGCTGTGCTAGAAGAACATACCCCAACCCTGTGAAGAAGAAAAAGAAGAAGAAGAAGAGCACATCGGCCGATCGCCGTCCGTCCAAGAAGAAGAAGCTAGGCATCACGCCAGGCCAGGTACCTTCAAGTCTAGAGTATTTGCTTTCTTATTAAATTTTCCTAATAATTCGCCGTCATCTGGCTTTGGTTTTCTATTAGATTTATTATCTATTATATGCTGACTAGGTATCTTGTCACATGCCACAGATAATTGTCTACCCAGCGAGCATGAGGATGAGGACCACCAGCCTCCTCCTTGCCACCGGCGTCGTTGCTGCCGTCGTCTGCGCCACTGTCACCCCCACACCCGGGTGGACATCCTGCGATAACGGCCCCAAGATCGACGAGCTCGCAAAGTGGGCGCTGGCGGAGATGAAGCAAGGCCTCCAGTTGAGCAGCGTGCTCCGTTGCGAGGAGCAAGGCCAAGGCGTTCAAGGAATCATCTATCGTATCCTGCTGAACGCGCTCGACCGCACCGGCGGGACGGGCCACTACACGACGGACGTGTACGATGAGGCGGCGACCAAAGTGCGCAAGCTCCTCTACTTCGGCACTGCCCCGTGGTAGGTAGCGGCCGGGCTGGGAGGACTATTTAGGGTGGTGTGATTAATCAAGCCAGTGTTTCCCGTGTGGGTGGAGTATCAAGCATGTTTGTTTTTCGGTGATGCTAAATCTCAGTCGACTGAGACTTCGATTCCTGGACCGTTTGATTATTTATCGCATTAAGATTAGCGCATCACTGGGCATGTCGTGCAATAGGCCCGTGTAGAAAACTTCTATGGTTGGGCTGCTCTTTGTTTGTTTTTCTGTGTCGGAGCAGGCTTGTTTCTGTGATGGGCTGCTGCCAGGTCAGGTGAAGGGGCCCTTTTTCTTTGTTTGTGGAAATTTCACCAATATAAAAATGTTGTGTTGCAGCCTTTTACAGTGGGAGAAGAGATGGGCATGTGTGACGTTGAACATTTCTTGCGTGGCCTTCGTGTTCTGCCCTCTTTTTACATTTTTATTTTCCTGTTTTCCATTTTTTTCTGGTTATTTTATTTTATTTTTATTGTTTTCTTTATTATTATTATTATTATTATAACTTTTTCCTATTTTTATGTTCACCTTTTGTTTTAAATTTTATTAAACAATAAATTTTATTTTTCAAAATAAAAGTATTTGCCATCTGGTCGAACAATCACCTGAATCAGACTTTGCAAAGTCTCAGTCGACGAGTCAGGCTTTTGTTCGCTTCAAGATTCATGTTGGGTGTGTTTGTCTTTTTTCCAGCCTGTATAAAGCGCAGACCAGGCCATTTCCTTTTTTTTTGTTTTTTGCTTGGCCTTGTCGCGTGCGAGCGTTGCCTTTTTTTTGTCGTGGCTTGGGCCGCATTTTTTTAAGCACCTAATAGGCTTGTTTCTTTCTTTATTTTGTTTCTCTCTCGTGTCCAATCAGTTTGCTTCCAATTTTTTTTGGTGACGGGCTGTTTTAGGGTGCGTCTGGTCCTAAAAATTTTGTGTGGGAAAGGATGTGTGATGGCCTGACTTTTTCCGCTTTTATTGTGTGTTCCTTTTTATTTGTTTTTCCTGTCTCTTTTTTATATTTTTGTAAGTATTTTTTAACAAAAAAATCGGCATCCTCGTGTTGTTGATTTTATTTTGCATTTGTATTTTCACCATTTCCCTTTTTCATTTTTATTTATAGTTTTCTTCTTTTTATTTGCTTTTTAAACATTTTCATTATTTCCTTATTTATTTATATTTTCTTTTTTCTTGCTTTTTAAAACCTTTCTCTTGTATGCCTGCTATTAGGCACAACTGTAAGTGTCACCATTGACTGTAATGTATTAGTCTTTTGTTGGGGGAAGGGCAATTTCATGTTTGTCGCTAGGCACACAAATGCAAGTGTCGTCTTTGACTGCAATTGCGTGTCTTTTAATGCGACCACTTAGTGGTGTTTTGTTGGGGGTGTAGTTGCACGTCTACCATTAGGCACACAACTGCAAGTGTCTTCCCCGGCTGCAACTCTGTGATGCTTTATCAAGGAAGGGGTAGTTGCATGTCTGCCACTAGGCATGCAACTGCAAATGTCACCCTCGACTGCATTTGCATGTCTTCCACATGGTTGCAACTTAGTGGTGTTTGTCGAGCGGAGGAGAGGCAATTGCATGTCCAACACTAGACACAACTTTGTGGTGCTTTATCAAGGAAGGGGTAGTTGCATGTCTGCCACTAGGCATGCAACTGCAAGTGTCACCCTCGACTGCATCTGCATGTCTTTTCACATGGTTGCAACTTAGTGGTGTTTGTCGAGCGGAGGAGAGGCAATTGCATGTCCAACACTAGACACGCAACTACAAGTGTCGCCCCTAAATGCAATTGAAATATCTTCAATGCGACTGCAACTCTGTACCATTTTTATCAAGTGAGGGTTTAGTTGCATGTTTGTCACTAGTTGCACAACTACAAGTGTTGCTCTCAAATGCAACTACATGTCTTCCACGCGGTTCAAGCTCAGTGGTGTTTTGTCGGACAGATGAGTGGCAATTGCATGTCCACCACTATGCATGCAACTGCAAGCATCGTTCCTGACTGCAACTATGTGTCTTCAACAAGGTTGCAACTTTGGGGTGTTTAGTCAAAGGGGACGGGGCAATTGCATTCTGTCACTAGGGATGCAAGTACAAGTATCGACCCAGACTTCAACTGCGTATCTTCAATGTGACCACTTAGTGGTGTTTGTAGGGGGGGGGGTATAGTTGCATATCTGCTAATAGGCACGCAACTGCATTTGTTGTCCGCGACTGTAACTCTATGGTGTTTTATTAGGGGGGGAGGCAGTTGCATGTCCGCCACTAGGCACGCAACTGCAAGTGTCGCCCTCGGCTGCAACTGCATGCCTTCCACGTGGTTGCAACTCAGTGGTATTTTGTCGGAGAGGCAATTGCATGTCCACCACTAGACACACAATTGCAATTATCGCCCCCTAAATGCAATTGCATGTCTTCAACGCGGCTGCAACTCTGCATTTTTTTGTCACATGAGGGGTTAGTTGCATGTTTGTCGCTAGTTGCGCAACTGCAAGTGTCAGCCTCGAATGCAACTGCATGTCTTCCATGTGGTTCAAACTCAGTGGTGTTTTGTCGGATGGAGGAGAGGCAATTTGCATGTCCACCACTATGCATGCAACTGCAAGTATTGTCCCCAACTGCAACTGCATGTTCGCAACGCGGTTGCAGCTTTGTGGTGTTTAGTCAAGGGGACGGGGGCAGTTGCTTGTCTTCCACTAGGCATGCAACTGCAAGGTGTCGGCCTCGACGTCAACTATGTGGTGTTTTGTCATGGGGGGTAGTTGCACGTTTGTGACTAGGCATGCAACTGCAAGTGTCGCCCCTGACTCCATATCTCTGGTGTTTTATCGAGGGAGGGGCAATTGCATGTCTACCACTAGAGATGCAACTACAAGTGTGGTGCTCCCCCATCCAATGCAACTGCATGTGCTTCAGTGCGACTGCAACTTCAATTGTCTACTTATTTTCTTTTCTTATTTTTATTTCTGTGTTTGGTTTTGTTTTTTTTTTCTTTCCTACACAGGGTGTATTTTTTTGTTACAAATCACACAATCTAGTTGCATGTCTGCCTCGGCGTGCAATTGCATGTGTTGCACCTCGCATGCAACTGCATAAGCACCAACTTAATGGCGCAAAAAATATTAGAAGTGTGTGGTGTTCCCATATGTGTGTAATTTATTAATTTTTATCTTCCTTTCTTATTTTATTGTATCATTGTTTGCACACCCTGCTGGTTGCACATAATTGTGTTATTGTTATATATGTGCAAAAATATTTTTATATTTCTTTGTGTTTAAATACTTGTATTTTTTCCTCCAATGTAAAATCAGCATAAGTAGCATGCCCATAGCTCACACGGTCACACCCAACTACAAGCAGCATATAGAAGGATTTTTCGGTGAACAAAAAAATACAAGAATTTGAACACAACAAAGCTGCATCATTTGTTGAGGCTGAAGCTACCTAGCAAAATACACTTACACAGGCAGTGGTACATCCCAAGTATAAGAAAACAGAAGACAAATCTGGCATCAGCACAACGGTGCACATAAGAAAAAGTAAGACAAAAGCCCAGTAGAAGACCAGGCTAGCCCATCACGAAGGCAACACATAAACATTTTCCAAAACAAAAAGGCCTGGGCTGTACATACGCTGACGTCATCAGTCGACTTAGACTTCGCGAAGTCTAAGTCGACTGAGACCTAGACAAACCCTTTGTTTTTTGTTTCGCACCACTAATAAGATGTTGCAAGAAAAGCAGTAATGCTATACGCACGGGGTCATTACAGGGGTTTACGGGGTGGATCCATCTGGCAGTTTGTGGTTGGCCATCTGAGAAAATTGGC